TGAACAGAAATGAGGGAATTTTCAGTAGCAATACATTTCCAATAGTAAAATCCATTTCAAAAGAAAATTTGACACGAGGGTAAACCTTTGAGCACAAAAACTGCAGCTGAAAATGTTTTGACCATTTTTTACTTATTTGCTGTGCAATAAAAATAGCTATACCCACTGAAACCGTGACAGAGAACAAAACTGCCTTAGAAAATACAGATCTCAGACACCAAATAAAAGTGTCTATTAGACCCATATGACATTTGAACATCAAAACATTTAAAATGGTGAAGCTGGTCCACTTTCATAACAAAAACGTCACTAGGACAGATTTCACTTATTTGAAAAGCATGAAAGTGTTCATCGAAAAAGCAGTCATATTTCACCAAAACCAAAAAAACGGATTCACTGTGAAGAATGATTGAACGAATTTTGCAAAAAATGGGCGCATCTTCATCAGAACCAGAGCAAACAAAAAGTCCAACTTGGTACTCCGATCCAAAACATTTGACCCAGTTTGTACATTTCACAAAATCTTGTAAATCAGCATCCAAAGATGTAGCTACATTAGGTCCAAAATCCAGTGCATCGACAATGCATCTTGTGATCGGCCCAGATTCTATGTAGTTTAAAGTCATGCCTTCCCAGTGATGTGCAATGGCAAATTGGTGTTTGTTGGCGAGCGACATAGTGAGATTCTTAAAGTTTTTCACAGTATTCTTAAAGAATTTGTGTTTAGCTTCCATTCTCATTGTCCATACATGTATCAATGGTCCAAGTTCTCGAATACATCTTGGGTAGTGAATCAAGAAGTTATGTTTTGGCAGAAGATTTTTAGTGGGATAAAGTTCTTTAAATAATTTGTGAGCGCTCAATGATAAGATGCTTCAAATACACGGTCATTCCTTCTGTGATTTTGTATGAAAAGACAATGTTCAAGATATTTAACAACAAAAGCAAAAGGTGCCAGTGCATGTCATCCTGAGGAATGAGGTCACCAAATATTAAAGGAATGTTTTTTAGCAAGCACAAAGTTTGTGAGGCATTCAATCCAATTCCATGACCGCTGCAATCAAGGTTAATATTGGTTGGTTTGTTTTTGCTTTCCATGTATCCATAATTAAAGGCATACATTCTGTTCAATATCCTTTCTTTAGGGAGAAAATGTGCACTCAAATGATCCAGAAGTAGCTTAATTTCAAATTGACCAACTCCTTCCAAAATGTCATGCATTATGTCAACACTGTAGTTTTCTGCTGTATTAAAATACTGCAAATCATTAAGAATGCTCTTTCTTTTGATGCCAAACAAAGATGTCAATGTCACGTCATTTTCCAAACAGGCATAGTGCTCAGCATTTGTAGCCGGGGACCGGAGCCTTAGTCTTTGGTCGTCCTCTGAAAATATTTCCTGAGCTGATGTTTTATCAATTAGGCAAAATCGACAATAATAATTAGCGCTAAATGATTCCATGTAGCCAAGAACACTGTGCATTCCCAGATTATCAGCTGTAATTTGAGCAAGTGTGCCACGTATTGGCAAGTCAGAAAAATGAGCAACTACTCCTTCGGTTTCTAATTTTTTCAGATCTCTAATCAGAGGTCTCAGGATCTCATCAAGCCCATACTTTTTAGCATCTTGTGAATGGAACAAGGACACCAGATGTATATTCATTAAAGTAGAATTCACTCTTGGGGGTAGATTTCGCAAAATGAAGTACACACAGCCTAATTTATGTATACCCTTTTTTGACCCTAGGGGGTTTGCACATTCAAACTCATCAAAGTACAATTGGATCTGTAAAGCTGATTTGTCAATAGAAAAAAGGGGATGACTTTTGTAGTAGCTTCCATCACAAAAGTCTACATACACATCAGACTGAGTCGTTGTTGTTTGAAGCAGCTCAGAAATGTTCTCATTTTTAAATATAAATTGTAGAGTATTCAAAATTGGAATATAGATAAATTTCTCACGTACAGGAACTTGTTCATATGTTCCCGTTGCTTTGCTTCGTCTCGTCTCATACCTTATTCCAAGGCAAAGTTCAACAGGCTGCACCACACCCCATTTTTCCTTTACATACTTTTTCCATTTGGCGTCTGAGTTTATCTGGTTAAAAGGATTGTCCAGTTCTTCGAACAGATGTTCTAAAGCAGGTCTTGATGGATTGTCTGTTGGTATTATGTTTAGAACCTGTGTCTGAATGTTAGATTGAAGGTCATCCACAAATGCCTCCAAGTTTTCAATCGTAGAAAGAACTAATGTGTTTGGCACACCATTAGCCAAAAGCTTAGCTATAATGGATGCGCACATATCTTTCTTTTCAAATGGTCTTAAAGGCGCCAGAGTTTGTGTTGCAGTAGCAGGCATTTCACTAGTTTCAGAAGAGCAATGTTGCTCGATTGTGACTTGATTTACAGTAGCGTCACAATGCAAATCACCATGACAGAATGAATGCGTATTCAAAAGATGTTTTCGAAATCCTGAATATGTGGCAAACGACAAACCACAACCTTGCTGGCCGCATTTTAGTCTTAGATTTTTCCCTGGGTACATTCCATGTTTAAGTTTTAAATGCCTAAATAAAAGTAAAGCAGTGCTAAAAGACAACGTGCATAGGTAACAGCCCAACATCTTTCTGGAATGTTTAACTACTGCTTATTTAAAATTCTGGCTCGCAGCAGCCTTACTCTGGGAGTTTCGTCAGTAGTGCCAATGTCAATGTTGTAAACCGTTGTTTGCAAAAAGGTGTACATGCTGTATAGGCAATCAGCATACCTCAGGCTAAACACAAAATGGCATTTAAAAAGTTCATCAAATGCCCCCAGGGATGTGTTTGACTGGCATGGGATGAGCTTCTTGTCCAGAACAATGTAAAATGACGACACTTGATTCTTGGATGTTCCTTGGGCTAGCAGATAAGGTTGCGGGTTTCCATCAATGGACTGGAGGTGATCCTCCAGGCTTTGGAAGGACTGAAAGATATTAAAAATAAATATGATGTAAGATTAACAGATGCACTATCCACTTTCATGAGTTTTTACATTTAGCACAGCCATCTACAGTAAAAAGGTACCAGCATGGCACTGACAAAGTTTAAGTGCTACTCTTACCATCCCCACAAAAAAATGTATATCAAATGAGAAAAAAAACTACTGGTTTTGTGTACATAATGTTTGAACATTTATACAGTTGCTCGTCATATAATTAGAATATCATAAAAGTGCACTTACTTCTGTAATTCAACTTAAATTGTGAAACTAATATACAGACTCATTACATGCAAAGTGACTTATGTCAAGCCTTTGTCATTTTGATTCTTATGGCTTACAGTCCATTTTCAAAATATTTTAATTTTATGAGATTTTCAAATTGGGTTTTTTACAAACTGAGCCATAACAATCAAAATTATAATATATATAAATAAAAGCTATACATATCTCACTTTGCATGTAATGAGTCTATCATATATTACTTTCACAGTTTAAGTTGAATAACAGAAGTGAATGCACTTTTTCCATGATATTCTAATTATATGACGCGCACCTGTACATTTTTAATTGATGAATATTGTTGCATAGGTACTAGTAAAGAAAAAAAGTATTAGTATATTTTAGAAAAAAATAAAATATGAACTGCTAAACAAACAATCCAATGCAGTTCAGGTCAGCAGCTTTCAGACTATGCAGGGATATTGTGTGCTCTGCAGAAGACAATGCCGAGAGTTAATAACGGCAGCCTTTGGATTTATTAATTTTTCTGTGTAACATCTTCACATTTATTTTATCAAAAATAAATTCAACCTCAACCAACCACCAAGTTGGTGGCTATAAAAATATGATACCTTTTGAAACTTGACAAGGTGGTCTGTTGCTTCTTCCACACTAATCTTCTTTGCTCGTTTTTTTCCTGCTACTTGTGGTGAGAGGAGGTACAAGAGGAGGATGAGGGAAGACATATCGCTGTCCCACTCTAAAAGAAAATGTGTTGAAGTTATCCTAATTAGCCAAGTAAACTCAGATCATAATCATATTTATGTGATGTACCTTGCTCATCTGATAGTGGGCTAGTGGGTTCATTGAGAGCTGCCTGCAGACATTTTCTGAGAAGGGATGTTTTGTTCAGGGTCTGTGCTTCATTGATTATTTTCCCTTTATAGCACATATTCCATTTCTCGAGGAATTTTGAAGATACCTCTTCACCGAACATTAAAGAAAAATCTTGCAAAATCTGTTCATGAAAAACAAACATAATTAAGATCATGCCATATCATCATCATGCATCATATCAAGCACAACCAGTTTGTGCAGACGTCATCAGGAAGAATGTGCATCCTGTACATTCTTTTAGAACTTTAAATAAATACATTTAAACGCTCATTATAGCCACTAGGGTGTACAATAGCTACTGCAATTAAGGCCTTGTGGTCATTATTTGTCCAAATAACAATTCAAACTTCAAGTTACTCTTTCTACAGATTTACCTACAGATCACCTACAGATTTACTTTCTACCGAGTAAATCTGTAGGTGACAAAAAAACGAGAATGAAACATTTCAAGAAGTTTGTTGCATCTTTAAATAAAAGAAATATACACATGAATTCTGTTGTCTGCCCCACTTACCAATACAAACATGATTCAAGACTTTCTACCCTCAACCAGGTACTCAGTACTCAAATAGTGCTACTTGAGTAGTCATTTTAAAGTTGTGTTATGGTGTAGTAGTAGTAGTAGTAGTAGTCAATATGCAGCAAGTAGGTGTGCAAATGTGTGACGGTTAGGTCCCTGATCATGTATTAGTCATGTGGATTTGTTGTTATAAAATGGGAAGAGACAAATTTCTCCTTCAAAGATTTGTGTTAGACAAGTTTAAAATGTTAAGCGCAGTTTTACACATACCAGTCCTTTTGTGTCCATGAATCGTGGGTACAATTGCAGAAGATCTGAAGAACATTGTGGATCACAAAGGAGCTGCTGACGATGACTGAATGTTTGTCTCATTTTTGAGAAAATCAAATCTCCGTCTGTTGTGTGTTGAAGTAGTGACATTGCTGCAAGACTTTCATCTCTTGGTTGCTCAGAGGAGGGTGGTTGCATTCGTGGGGATGTTGGTCCGCCTTTATTATCATCATGATGCATCAATTTGGAGTCAGTTATAGGCGCCTTTCTCGTCTGCCGCTGCACAGTCTTTAGCCGCCATTGAATGAACCCGGTGTTGCTGTTTATGTCAAAGAAGTGTTCCTGAAACGACACATTTTTTATTGACATCATCTAAAAAAGTCTAAAAAAGGAAAACTAAAGACTCACGTATCCTTTTTTGGATAAAGAATCCTTCAATGACGGGAACATCTCAACAATCCCTTGAGCATGAAACTCCTTTGTTTGTCGGTGAATGATCCTCCCCCTGTAAAAGATTATAAAAAAGTTAATTTAAAAGTCACATGAAATATAATTATCTCTTTTTTTTTTTTCACGTTGCAGTGTCGCACATTGCAGCGACAATGACATTCACCACAATGCGTCTTGTTGACTCTTTAAGTGTCCCAGTCTCGTCGTATTCTTTAATCGCATTTCTTCCCGCAGGGTTGCATTTCAAAATCTTTGCCACATTCTTTACGGACAAACAGAGTCTGTATTAACAGCAAGCATAAAGATCATGTGTGTACATACACACACATGATCATACCAGTTTAGCTCGTGAAGGAGCCATGTTCTGTTGGATATCACTTGAAGCATCCTCATTGTTTGAGGCAGAACATCCAGTTTTACTTTGCGAGGCAAGAGCAGTGTTTTGTCCAGGGTTATATAGTGAAGTCTCACTGCTTAAGCTGCTTGATACTGATGATGCATCAGCCAGACACGAATACATTCTTGGGTCATTTCCATCTTCTAAAACCTCCAAGTCTTGAACATTAAATGAACACAACATAGGTAAATGCTATGATATGCATGACCAACAGAGGGTATGCGCATGATGTCATACCATGTGGCAAAATCTGTTTGAGTCGCAACAACTTACCAAGTGTTACACAGCGAGACAGATCTGGACCATAATCTTCAAGATTTGCGCAGTTAGTCAGGTTGACTGGTTCCAGCAAAGGCACTGAAATTACAAATTTTGCTAAAAAAATTTCCACAGATGTATATCGAGACTGAAGGGGCACAGGCGATCCTATTTTCAATATATTTGGTCAATACACTTACACAAATATTTAAGATTTAAATAGAGGCACTACCACCCAATAAATTACCATATTTTATTTTGTTTTTATCTTTATTGTTAAAAAAATACTGTCACTGTGAGCAGCTCAGCCCCTCTGACTTGACTGTAACTTTACTGGAGCGGGACGTCTCCACTCATCTCCATGGAGATGTGACTAAAGGCAGCTGAATATCAGAAGTGTAGGTCCTCGTCCAAATCAATTATTTTACTACCTACTGTGTTATGCAATTACTATAAAAATATCATTTTCTGTGTTGAGCTGGTCATTAGGAGCATGTTTTGTATCAGCAACAGCATGATCTGAAATGTTACGCCGTGTGCCTGTATTGCTTTAAAAAGTATAACTCGTCATACCAATCATACCATTATTTAGCTATTTTTTCATAGATGACGAGGAACAACATTAACGGGAGGGGAAGGGCACCATTTCCTTTACTAATGGGAAACACGGCTTTAAATGAAAGTTAAAAAGCCGTACATTCCTTTGCCGATATGAGGAAACCAATTTCTCTGATCGCCAGGTCTGGAAACACATCTTCGTCCACTTCCACACCGTCCTCATCTGTGACCTGAAGTGGGGTGTACTCGTCTATTTTGAACTTCTCTCGAACTGAAAAACAACAACATAACATTTATTGTCCAGATGGAATAACTTTCTTTTATCCAGGTCTATGTGCACTCACCCGTACAAATTAAACAGGAAAAAGAAAGTGTCTCCAACCTGACATACTTCTTTGTGCCCTGGTAGCACACTTTTAAGAGTGACATTTCTGCAAACAAACCAGTACATGACCTCAGACTTGGGAACAGTGAAAGTAAAAATAATCAGCAAAAATAATAACAACATAAAAATCATAAATGATACCTTAAACTGAAAGGGCTATAAGAGTCACAGCCCTGCCAACAAAGTTCGTAATGAAATGTTATTCACTGCCATGGATATTGGACCAACGCTAACACTGTTTACAGACTAATGTGAACTGAAAACAATATGAAAAGCAGACAAAATTGCTACTGGGACACTACCAGTAAATATAACCCACTGTGACTTTCATATTACCTCCAGTATTTTCCATTTTAAAGTCCCAGTTAATTTAAAATAAAGGTTAAATAACAGTAAATTCATATTACATCTTCTTAAACACTATGATAACAAATGGAATTGACCACAAGGATTTATTTTCGTTTATAATTTCATGTTCAGGCAATGGTCCATTTGGTTATAAAATACTAACTGACAAGCAAGGGCTGAGTTTTATTGCCACGATGTTTACAATGCAATAGATTCTTTTTTTCCCGCTAATTTCTTGGAACAAAACTCACTACCAACATAACGAATGACAAAATCTCCAATCGAAAGGCTAAGAGCTGCTTTTCAGTGATACGGAGAGAAAGGGCTGTATGAAAACCATCCAAAATCCGCGTACATACTTGGCTGGCTACCGAGAACTGGCAACCCTGGAACATGCTGCCACCATAGAGTTATATACAAGCTTGCATGCCACGCATATAAGAATTAATGCTTTACCGCGTGTTTCCGCGCTTCGCTCTTCAAGAGGCTTTTGCCATATACAACACTGCCCAGATTACGTACACTAGATGCTGTTAACAGCAAACCAAGCACAATGTCGCCAAGATGCCTCACCACTCTCTACCTACATCATGCATCCATAGCCATAGTCATGACCCTCTCTAGTCGCGTTAGCAGGTGTACCGACAAAAGGATTAGCTGCAAAGCTAACATAGCGTTAAATGCTAACAGGCAGACACATCGCCAAAGTACGAACAGTGACACCAAACTCGCTGTACAATTACACAAATCCACGCTTAACTACAGCAGGACCCTACAGGCTTGTAGTCAGGCTCGTTCTCATCTAAATTATGGCTAAACTTATATTTTGCTACACTTACCTCGGTAGCTTGGAGCTACTACAGAAGCCGCGGCCGCATATGAGCAGGCGCTTCGTCACCCACTTCCGTTTTCTGCAAAATTAAAAAAGTAGTTTGACGCTGATATTACATTCAAAGCTATGGTAAAGTATTTACAGTACGGATTGGATCTGGCTTTCGCCGCTAAACAAGACACCAAAATCGGAGGCGAAGCAGATATCAATATCAAGTTTCACTGCTTTTTTTCCTTTGTTTTTTTTTTTTTTAAGTCAAATCAAATGTTAGCTCGATAACACGAAACTCTACTTTGAACACGTATTTACTTGGTTTTTGGTTTACTTTATGTAAAACATCTTGTTTTACTTACCTTGGCTTAAAATAAAGACCGGCGTTGATTTTTCAGCGGGAAAGAAAGGGCGAAAGAAAAAGTTTAGCTCCTCCTCCTTCGAAATTTCAACTCCCCAAGGGTGTTACGGGGGCGCTCATGAACACCCACAGCAAATAACCCCAGAATTTAACACCACCCAGGATTGCTACATTTCAAAATGTGCTGAAAAAGACATAGAATTAACTCCCAAAATTGTACCCCCCTACACTTTTCTGCTTAACACCCTTTTTTTCTACCCCTCAAATTTGCTGTGTACTCGCTCCACTGCCATTGCATCCCTTGAGGTAAGAAATGTCATTTGCGGCGTGTGTGGCATGACATTGTAGGGTAATAATACTACAGTAAGCTATAAATTGTAAGAGAAGAATAGTAAGATGTAGTGTAGTGCGGGTAGTCTCCCAATCAGAGTCTGCCGTACTACACGAGTGGGGATCTGCTTTAATTTTTAGGGCACCAGCAGTTACTTCTGCACAGATCCAAACTAACTTTGCCTCGAGTCAGTCTTATAATCTAAAAGTAGTGAATGCGTATATCAGCCAGGGATACCCAAAATTTAACAACACGACGCTTAAATGATTGAGTTAAAAGAAAAGGGGTTTATTGACTACAAAAATGAAGATAGAAAATATAACGAAGGGGATTTCTGGTCACATTAAGCAAATATTGTTATGCACATCATTTGAATCACACTCCAACAGAACAGTCTTACTTTTTAGGAGCGTAGAGGATGGAGAAAGGATTTGGGTTGGGGAATCAGCCCACGTGGTTTCTTTGTCCGGGCAGGCGGGAGGTATGAAGCCAGCGAGTCTGGTCCAGCTGCTGATCCACGCGTATACAGCCCAGTCCGGAATGAGTTGCGTGCGTAGAGTCCAGAGCCAAGGAAAGAGGCTGGTGATGGAACAGTTCATAAGGTCCCGAGCCAGAGAAGAGGGCTGTGTTGCGGAGTAGAAGGCCCGATGCGTGCAGGCGCGGCCGTAGTAGGAGACACGTGCCGCGAGACACAAAAGGGCAGGGAGGCTGCAATAGTGATTTCAGGAGAAGACAAGAGAAAGTTCTGTTGCATTGCGAGTGTTTATATTGACTTCTGGAGGGGCGCGTCCTTCACGTCATCCATGTGCGACACCCCCCTTACAACAGGCAGTTTACAAGGGAAACACACAGGATTAATACAGACGAGCATAACACATTGTACAAACACACACCGCAGTTCATTACTCGACCATGATACACACATGTAGGGCACGGTACAGACGTATTGGGATAATACAGAGTCCGGAGCTGGTCTACACCATGTCCGTGTCGGGTGTGGTAGTGTTCAATGTCCGCTGGGGGGCGCCAGAACGCCGCGGGTGAGTCTCGGAGTGTCCAGGGACAGGAATGCCCGGGATTGAGAGCAGATGGATGATCTCTGATCTCTGTCAGGCAGAAAGGCACAAAGATATTTGTTCTGGGCTCAGTTTATGGCCTTGGTTGACACTTATGGTCACGGTGACTGATGATGTCCTCTGGTTGACCTGGTCGTCTCTTAGATGTGCTGCCAAGATGGGTCATGCTCGGAGGGCATGTTTACACATCTTGGTTTGCTGGCCAGCGTCTGATTAGCTGTCCTTTAATTCACCTTACAACATTAACAATTGCCCTGGCCATCTAGAAGAGACCAAAAATAATATGCAATTCGCCAACAACTAATATTTTACTTTATGAACAGCCTACTGGACGACATTACCGCAATGACTATGACTCCACAATTATCGGAATCCTCCTGGACCGAATGCGGGAGAACATCTCCGATAAATGTATTTATTGTGGATATCCAGCCTCATTCGTAAGTAGTCACTGAGGAAACAACTGCCACAGTTAGACATACTTTATTTAACTTCACTTTATGGCAGGCATGTCAAAGTCAAATACATCAGAGGGCCAAAAAAAAATGTTTGCTACGAGCCGAGGGCCGGACTGGTTCAATGTTTCTCAACATCCATAGGCAGTGCCGGTGACACCTGTTGGCTCGATAAAATATGCTCTAAAGCCAATCCTCATACTGTACATATTAGATGTAATAGACATCTGAGAACATGAAAATAGTAAAAAAAAAAAAAAAAAAGCTCAAACTTGGTGAAATGTAAAAGAGCAGTCTGGACCTCTTTTTGGGGCGTTTTTTGATTAAATCTGCAGAATGGATTATACTTTGGGAAAAACAAGTGGATATTCTTCTTCAATAGACAGTTACGGAGAGAAAGAGACTAAGCAAGGATGGGGAAAGTCTAATTTGTTGGAGCAGCAAAAGACGAAAGGTAAAAAACAAATACAGACGTTATTTATTTTGTGCCCATATTATGCGTTATATCTTTTTAATGCAAAGTCTGATATCGTTTACACTTACATATAAATATAGCTGAGAAAATAAGCTTTAAAATGATATATAGCTTGTGGCTTATGAAGTTCAAAATACATCTGCTATTGCCAGCAGATGTATTTTTTTCCTCGTTTGCTCCCGCCGGCGGGGGCTAGCGAGCTCAATACATTGCCTCAATGGCAGGCAATGTCCCGGGGGCCATAGATAATTCATTCGCGGGCCGGATTTTGCCCGCGGGCCTTGACTTTGACACATGTGCTTTATGGCATGCGCCATTAAGGTTGCAGAATTCTTATTGTAGCTGTCATAATATTAATACATGTCAAATATCAAACTCCTGAGACCCGAGCATAAAGCCTATGTGGCATGCATTTTAAACTAGTTCGACATCAAGGTTGCTCAAAGTGCAGCCTGGGCCAAATTTGCTCCCAATGAGCATCAGTGACGCACGCTGGAAGAGCTGAATATCGCCCCGCTCACCCCTTTCTTAAACATTAAGTTGAAAAGGAGGAAATGCAAATAATAAGCTCTATCATTGCCCATATTGAAATCTGAGGCTCAATATTGACGAGCAGAGGATGCTCTAAATAACTCGTCCTCCTTTTGAGACTCTTACGCATGAGTTGCAAAATTCTGGTTCTATGATTGTGTGCTGAAAGTATGTGTATTTTAGCTCAATTCATTCTGCAATCTCCGAGTATTCCTAATTCCAATAAATGGCATAAATCGCATCAAAAATGAATGTAATGAGGTGAATCAATGACAGAGAAAAACAGCTCAGGGCGTTTTATTACGACGCTGTACGTCACAATGACAACACCACTGATTTAAACGCTCCAATGCAGCCTCCATTCGTAATCAAAAGTAAATAAAAAGGCGCACAGTAAACAAAAAAAGCCCAAACACGTGTTGGATCCTGCCCGTTTCTGTCCAAATCACAGACATGCCTGTTCGCATTGGATTAGCGTTATCATAGGACCTCGGAGTTCAGTAAAATATAGTAGGTATATTCGCGGGGGAATGTATAATTGGCAAATCACTGACATGGCGCATTCTCACGGGATTAACAGCACAGACATTCTACGTGATTACTACAAATCGCATGTGGTCCCGAGGTAAAACTAATCCCGTGCGAATAGGGCTCTGATAGAGCTGACATTCATGGCCCTTACCGGAATCGTTTCACAGCATTGTCTGATTCCCTTTGTTCATTCCTGTTCAGCGGGTCCAAATTATAAATGCGTGACATTGGTGCATTGATGTACTGCAAAGACAAGATGATTAATTCACCAAGCCATATTCACATGACAGACATACAGTAAATCATGTAGGCCTACCAAGAGCTTCCAGTGACCACCATGATTGAAACTGCCCAAGATTGTGTCATACACATCGAAATTCACCTGCAACACATAAATAAGCCCTCATTCAAACAAAAACAGACATGTGTTCAGTCACGTCCAATCTGAGGTGTGGACCTGAAATCTGTAAGCAATAATTTGATGTGCACATGAGAAATATTCCATGCTACATAATTTGAAATCAGTATCGCATCCAAACACACCCTGCCAAGGCAGTTTCGTCCAATTTGGTCTCTTTCTCCAAATAGCATCACCCCAGCAGTGAAATAGCTCATAATGTACACTGGCTTGTGCTTTGCCAATATACACAGCATGCAGTCAATAATCTACAAAGAAAATAGACATAGTTAAATGCTGCATTAGCTCATATTGATAGTGTCTGTATAAGTGTCCAACATATACCTCCCCAACAAGCCACTCGTGTGGTCTCAAAGTCCGGATGTCCCTGTGATGGACCACAAGTACATCCTTCTTTTTCATTCCATGGATTAGTGCCAGGACCACTTCTATGTCCTGGTGTTGCCACAGTGCACTGAGCTGCTAGACAGTTTATGCATGCAATTATACATACATGTTCATCAGATATTATATATTGATCCAATAGCACAATGAGGCATTAAATCACCTGAGCCTCAACATCCGTATCATCATCATTGCCCTCGGATTCAGGGAGATCCCATGTGCCACCTGCAACCTATATGCATGTCATGAGATTGATAGCACTTAGACCACATGTGTCAAAGTCAAGGGCCGCGGGCCAAATCCGGCCCGCGAATGAATTATCTATGGCCCCTGGGACATTGCCTGCCATTGAGGCAATGTATTGACCCCTTAAGCTCGCTAGCCCCCGCCGGCGGGAGCAAACGAGGAAAAAAATACATCTGCTGGCAATAGCAGATGTATTTTGAACTTCATAAGCCACAAGCTATATATCATTTTAAAGCTTATTTTCTCAGCTATATTTATATGTAAGTGTAAACGATATCAGACTTTGCATTGAAAAGATATAACGCATAATATGGGCACAAAATAAATAACGTCTGTATTTGTTTTTTACCTTTCGTCTTCTGCTGCTCCAACAAATTAGACTTTCCCCATCCTTGCTTAGTCTCTTTCTCTCCGTAACTGTCTATTGAAGAAGAATATCCACTTGTTTTTCCCAAAGTATAATCCATTCTGCAGATTTAATCAAAAAACGCCCCAAAAAGAGGTCCAGACTGCTCTTTTACATTTCACCAAGTTTGAGCTTTTTTTTTTTTTTTAACTATTTTCATGTTCTCAGATGTCTATTACATCTAATATGTACAGTATGAGGATTGGCTTTAGAGCATATTTTATCGAGCCAACAGGTGTCACCGGCACTGCCTATGGATGTTGAGAAACATTGAACCACTCCGGCCCTCGGCTCGTAGCAAAAATTTTTTTTTGGCCCTCTGATGTATTTGACTTTGACATGCCTGGTGTAGATTGTACCTGGCTTTAATACTGATCCGAACATAGGCGCTACAATCATGTTTTTTTACTCTTTGGCATTAACTGTTCAGTACAGTAGTGTTCATAACACTGTGCCTGGTTTAATACGGTCTAACTTGTACTTTGATGTAGCGAAACATGATTTTTAATGCAGCTCCATGAATTTGCAATAATGGGTGATATCCTTCTACTATTGTTCTAATGCTTTTTGAATGCTGTGTTTATCGTTTATTGCCCAGAGTCAGAACTAAACATGATAAAGCTGCAGTTCAGATTCACAAGGCTAAAATCTGGAATGGTTTTCCTAGAAATATGAGAAAGGCTTCTTCTTTGACAATGATAAAATCCAGGTTTAAAACAATTCTGTTTCTGCTACAACTGAGAGATTTTATTTTTATCTTTTTAATTTACTGTGATTATAATTGTAATGCGAATTGCGAATGGTGCCCATTATAATTAAAAAACATGGACCCAGAGTCCCCAACTCTGGGTGCCTTCACAGCGACATGCTTCCCATCAATAGCTCCACAGCACAGAGGGAAGTTCCATCGGACCTCAAGTCCTGCGCTATGGACCTCCACTCCTCTGCTCCAGGCACAGCCATGAACTCCTCCACAAGGCAGTCCCAGATGGCTGCCACCACATCTGGGATGAGCTTGGAGATGGTGGAATCTCCCCGCAATGGTCCTGTAGGAGTCCCTAGTGGCAAGAAACCTGCAATTACAAAATAATATGAACATATTTATTACAATTACAAATTCATAAAAATAACGTGACAAAACTTGTGTAGCATAAAATACGATTAACTAGTAGACAGTAAACATCATAGACAGTAACCATAGACACCATATTGTTGCATAATACTGTTTTCTGAGCTATTACATTGTGGATTGTGGTTGAAAAATGGCACACTTTGTAAGTATTTAGGAATTCAGAATGGGGTAAAAAACACTAACCGCAGATCTTGGACAGGCGTAGCCTGTAGTTGGCAGAGATGGGGACTCGCGAGTCGGACTCGAGTCCGACTTAAGTCGCTATTTTTAGAGACTTGCGACGCGACTCGGACTCGTCCCCTAAAGACTCAGGACTTGACTCGGACTCGTCCCCTAAAGACTCGGACTTGACTCGGACTTGTTGTTTTCGGACTTGCGAGTCCTGACGCTCCAGATCCAACCATTTCACAGGCTGGTAAGGGAGCGCGCTCTTTGGCTGTTTGCTCTTTGGTTGTGCGTGCTCTATGGCGGTGCGCTCTCTTTGGCTGTGCACGCTCCTCGGATGTGCACGCTCCTCGGCTGTGCACGCTCCTCGGATGTGCACGCTCCTCGGCTGTGCGCGCTCTTCGGCCGCAATCGCGGGTCTTGACTGTGCGGGAATGCACGCGTTGGCTCATCACTTTGTGCATCAGTTGTGTCTGAGCTGTGAGCCGCTCTGTCAACGGCAGCGCGCAGCAGGTCATAATGTTCCCAGGACCATACACGTGCACATAGGACCATTCTCTGCTTGTTATGTGCATGTCTTTATAAACCTCTGCAATAAACAGAGCTGGATGATAGAGCCTCCTGACGTTACCCTGTCTCCCCGTGTCTCCTCCTAAACTCGTAAAAATGAGACTTGGACATGCAGGGACTTGGACTTGACTTGGACTTGCGGGTCCGGGGACTTGGACTTGACTTGGACCTGGAATGAACAAATTGGCGTTGAAAATGTTCTTCTTCCAATGAAGTAGGCTTTTTTTTGGGCATTTATACATTGAATTTTTTTAGGCGAGGCTAAAAAAAACAGTTTTTTTCCCCAAACTTCAAAGGATGCAGAGTGAAATAGGAATGACATACATTATTTCAGTGTATATTTACATAAACTAAAAGGGCCTAGCTTTAAAATGATGCATCACACAAGCATGTGAGATGTAAGATGTGTTTTTAAATAAGCAAAGACATTTGGGTATGCCAAACTTTTGTGCATGAGCCAAAACAGATGTAGGAGTTTAAGAGGTTAAAGCCTACTGCACACCTCTCTATACTGCCAGCTCACTGTTTGTTCTTACAGTTTTTCTCTATTGCTACAACACAAAACCCAGTACTCTAAACCAAATGACCAATTGCCTAAACACATTTATTAAAACTTCCCCCCACTTCTCACAACCCTAAACACAATTCTCCTGTAGACACTGTTCACAAAACACATGCCCTTTTTCTCAAAACTTTAAACACATTTTTCTTTTGCTAAAGCACATTTTTCCTTTGCTAAAACAAATTTTTCCTTTGCTAAAACACTTTTTGCATGTATCTCTGCTCCTATAATCATTGTGAGGCTCATGTGATGAAAAATGTCTTCCACTGTCAGCAAAACTTGAACACAATGAACAGACCTGGTGTCATTCAGAAAACACAAATTCTCAGAACTGAAAACTCCTGTTGCAAATGATGTGACCAAAACTTTATAAGTCAGTGCAGGTTCCAAACGAAAATGGATGATCAAGGCACAAGAAGAGGAATTTGTGTCAGTGGAGGGAGAGGAGCAGGTCAAAGAGGGAGAGGAGCAGGTCAAAGAGGGAGAGAAGAAGGTCAAAGAGGGAGAGGAGCAGGCCAAGGATGGAGAGGAGCAGGTCAAGGAGGGAGAGGAGCAGGTCAAGGAGGGAGAGGAGCAGGTCAAGGAGGGAGAGGAGCAGGTCAAAGAGGGTGAGGAGCAGGCCAAGGAGGGAGAGGAAATTTAGGTACCCCAGCTTTAATTTAGTGAGTTGTAGTTTCAGGGCTACAGGAGACACGGGGACACTTCCAGAGGCTCACATACAGTAGTTCAGCTGTATTTCTCACAGCGCTGTATTTATCGCGTCCACAGGTTGTCCAAAGTTCCGCACTTGTCCTGTCAGCGCCGGTCACATGGGAATGAGTCCGCTGTGGCACCAGAGCATGTGGAGGAGGGGCGCCCCCCACTATTTGCCCCTCCCTGTCATCGCCCCCCCCCCCCACTATTTGAGAAGCACTGCCCTAAACATTGTGTTTTCAATTGTTACTGTACTGTAGTATCTTTTGTGTGTCATGGATCCTCCATGGAGTTACTCATGTTTGCATTGAGTTGTGATATAACTGCATTTTCTACTTTATATACTGTAACTATTCTCATGAAACGCACAAATCTATAGTAAATGCCCAAAACATATTTGAGAATTAAAAAAGTGTTGCTCAAATGCATCCTGGCAGTTGTGAAACTGTAAAAAGAACAGTCTCACATTCTGAAAATTGTGTTTTCAATTGTTTTGGTGATGTGGTTAATGATGCTCATAGTGTTCACATTTTTGCAGACCATGAGTGGTATTTTGGTGTGATGGGTTGGTTTTGAGAATATGAGAAACTGTTTTGGTGTGATGAGTCAGTTTTGAAAAGAGACTGTGTTGTTGTGTGTACGTAGCTTTAGAAAATAAGTTTGTGTTTAGAGTTTTGAGAAAAGGGAGGGCAGTATCGTGAAATGTGTTTAAGCAATAGAGAAAAACTGTAATAATGTCCCCACTCTGAATGCTCTGATCAGAAATGTTATTTATCGTCGTAAGTAGCATAAGCTACATGTAGCTCTATAGTCAGTCGGTTGTGTTTACATCTAAAACCACAAGAAAAAACTGCATTGCTTTTTTGTTAAATGAAAAAATCTTTACCTTACCTTCAAAATGTCTGAAATTGGTGAATTTTTTAGCTATTAAAACAATCTATGGGCTGGAAACAAGATCGAGAGATCACGTTTGCAACAAGTAATCCAATATGGCAGCGTGATTTGATGCCCACCTTTTTGACAAAACTACCTACAATGCCGTGCGGTCGAGCCGGAAGCTCGGAACTCTTGATGCATGTATAGTAATTGCTAACACAGGGACCAGACCCAGACGTTACATGTAGTAAAATTATGATTGAGTGGAGTGTAAGGATGGCTAAGGCCAGGCTAGCTGTGAAGTAAAAGTAATTTATTTGATATAAGAACAAGCTGACGCTGAGTCTGGCTCAGACACAGGAGACTGATAGACAGGCGCTCCTCCGTGGGAATCGAGTGCCTGTAGTTGGTTTCCAGGCAGGAGCAAGGCGGGCGAGGCGGGGTGTAGGTACTCAAACTGTGGGAGTGACATGCCGAAGTACAGATCAAAGCGAAACTCATCCGTACGCAGCTCCTATAGGAAATGGTGAAACTCCGCAAACACTGCAGCCTCTCAAGTCAATGGTGAACCCAGCTAAACCCAACTAAATTTGCACTAAAATGTCCAAAAAATGACAAGGATATGTAGAGGCAGAGGCGTCCCATTCCAACAGGCAAGGCAGGCAGGGGGCCCCCGAGGGCCAACTGTTTTTACACAAGCAGTCGACTTGTACTGACTACAACAGCTACCTACAGTGACAAGTTGGCATCACTTTTCGTCTGATACAAAGCTTGCCACGTTCTTTATGAACAGTTAAAACCCCTTTCTGGGGCATACATACATATATTGAATGTAATGGCGGCCTAGTGGTTAAGACATCGCTCTTTAGATGCTGCGACCCGGGTGTCGAATCCCAAAGTGGACAGTGTTTTGAATTAAATAATATATTATATATTATGACAGATTGCTCAAGAACGGTAAAAGGTAAACCCAAGCCGTTTTTTGCAGATTAAACCTAAGAAGCTAATCTTAAATTTAGACTATATAAACACTGAGGGCCAAATGAAAGATTAGATTTTGTAGGATTAATACACTTTGTAGTTTTGAAGAAGATGACAAAGTCTGGGATCGCGTCTTTAATTCAGACAGAAGACATGTTTGGTAACACTTTACATTACGGGCCGGTAAGTCCATGGTACTTACAGTGGTACTTCTAGGTACTTACGGTGGTACTTACGGTGGTACTTACGGTGGTACTTACGGTGGTGCTTACGGTGGTACTTACGGTGGTACTTACGGTGGTACTTACAGGGGTACTTACGGTGGTACTTACGGTGGTACTTACGGTGGTACTTACAGTGGTACTTACAGTGGTACTTACAGTGGTACTTACAGTGGTACTTCTAGGTACTTACAGTGGTACTTCTAGGTACTTACAGTGGTACTTACGGTGGTACTTACGGTGGTACTTACGGTGGTACTTACTTACGGTGGTACTTACGGTGGTACTTACGGTGGTACTTACGGTGGTACTTACGGTGGTACTTACGGTGGTACTTACGGTGGTACTTACGGTGGTACTTACGGTGGTACTTACAGGGGTAATTACAGTGGTACTTACAGTGGTACTTACAGTGGTACTTCTAGGTACTTCTAGGTACTTACAGTGGTACTTCTAGTGGTACTTCTAGGTACTTATTGTGGTACTTACAGTGGTACTTCTAGGTACTTACAGTGGTACTTAGAGGTACTTATTGTGGTACTTACAGTGGTACTTCTAGGTACTTATTGTGATAATTCTAGATACAGCTGTAACTTAGTAATTCAAGGACACTACAGTATTATTCCTATGTAGTAAATGTGGTACTTCTACATACATACATACAGAGGTCATTTGTAGGATTGTTTGACTATAAAACATAAAACAACATTATGTAAAACAAACGTCTTTATTAATATGGAATAAGTAGCACAGAAAGGACAGTATAAATACATTTAATGCATATTTCAAAACAAGTTTCAAGGACAAGGGAAACACTGCAAGAACTAGGTACCCAACCCAAGTAACAAGAATTACACATTACCAGGTACTTACCAGGCAAGTACCAGGTACTTACCAGCCAAGTACCAGGTACTTACCAGCAAGTACCAGGTACTTAACAGCAAGTACCAGGTACTTAACAGCAAGTACCAGGTACTTACCATAGGGACTGGCCCATAATAAGACAAAGGACTTTAACATAAGTACCAGTGATAACACCAGTAATTATACAGTAAGTACCAGGTACTTACCATAGGGACTGGCCCATAATAAGACAAAGGACTTTAACATAAGTACCAGTGATAACACCAGTAATTATATAGTAAGTACCAGGTACTTACCATAGGAACTGGCCCATAATAAGACAAAGGACTTACCCATAAGTACTAGTGATACCAGTAATTATATAGTATACCATGTACTTACCAGCAAGTACCATGTACTTACCAGCAAGTACCAGGTACTTACCATAGGGACTGGCCCATAATAAGACAAAGGACTTTAACATAAGTACCAGTGATAACACCAGTAATTATACAGTAAGTACCAGGTACTTACCATAGGGACTGGCCCATAATAAGACAAAGGACTTTAACATAAGTACCAGTGATAACACCAGTAATTATACAGTAAGTACCAGGTACTTACCATAGAAACTGGCCCATAATAAGACAAAGGACTTACCCATAAGTACTAGTGATACCAGTAATTATATAGTATACCATGTACTTACCAGCAAGTACCAGGTACTTACCAGCAAGTACCAGGTACTTACCAGCAAGTACCAGGTACTTACCAGCAAGTACCAGGTACTTAACAGCAAGTACCAGGTACTTACCAGCAAGTACCAGGTACTTGCTGGTAAGTACATGGTATACTATATAATTACTGGTATCACTAGTACTTATGGGTAAGTCCTTTGTCTTATTATGGGCCAGTTCCTATGGTAAGTACCTGGTACTTACTATATAATTACTGGTGTTATCACTGGTACTTATGTTAAAGTCCTTTGTCTTATTATGGGCCAGTCCCTATGGTAAGTACCTGGTACTTACTGTATAATTACTGGTGTTATCACTGGTACTTATGTTAAAGTCCTTTGTCTTATTATGGGCCAGTCCCTATGGTAAGTACCTGGTACTTGCTGGTAAGTACATGGTACTTGCTGGTAAGTACATGGTACTTGCTGGTAAGTACATGGTATACTATATAATTACTGGTATCACTAGTACTTATGGGTAAGTCCTTTGTCTTATTATGGGCCAGTTCCTATGGTAAGTACCTGGTACCTACTATATAATTACTGGTGTTATCACTGGTACTTATGTTAAAGTCCTTTGTCTTATTATGGGCCAGTCCCTATGGTAAGTACCTGGTACTTACTGTATAATTACTGGTGTTATCACTGGTACTTATGTTAAAGTCCTTTGTCTTATTATGGGCCAGTCCCTATGGTAAGTACCTGGTACTTACTGTATAATTACTGGTGTTATCACTGGTACTTATGTTAAAGTCCTTTGTCTTATTATGGGCCAGTCCCTATGGTAAGTACCTGGTACTTGCTGGTAAGTACATGGTACTTGCTGGTAAGTACATGGTATACTATATAATTACTGGTATCACTAGTACTTATGGGTAAGTCCTTTGTCTTATTATGGGCCAGTTCCTATGGTAAGTACCTGGTACTTACTATATAATTACTGGTGTTATCACTGGTACTTATGTTAAAGTCCTTTGTCTTATTATGGGCCAGTTCCTATGGTAAGTACCTGGTATTACTGTATAATTACTGGTGTTATCACTGGTACTTATGTTAAAGTCCTTTGTCTTATTATGGGCCAGTCCCTATGGTAAGTACCTGGTACTTGCTGTTAAGTACCTGGTACTTGCTGTTAAGTACCTGGTACTTGCTGGTAAGTACCTGGTACTTGCTGGTAAGTACCTGGTACTTGGCTGGTAAGTACCTGGTAATGTGTAATTCTTGTTACTTGGGTTGGGTACCTAGTTCTTGCAGTGTTTCCCTTGTCCTTGAAACTTGTTTTGAAATATGCAT